GAAGGACCCATGGAACGACATAATCCCGCTCTTGCCTCTGCAAGAGTTCATGCCCTTGACCTCTGTCCAAGGAAAGTTTCGTGCCTCCGCTCCATGTTCCATCTTCTATGCCGACTCCCTTCATGCGGTTTGGGTGTTTCACTAAGTTACACCCAAGTTACTCCACTCCTCGATTTGCATTGAGTTGATGGTGGCCCTCGCGCCCACCATTCCATGGGTCGACCCTCCATTGAGTTCGATCTCCATATCAGCTCCAAGTGTGCCTTCATTTTGTGTTGCCTTGGGTCACTCCCCTACTTAATCTCACAATGCATCCTCCAATGCATTACCTTATGCGAGATCATGCGATGACTCCTCGTCACTCGCTCGGTCCGTTGCACATGATTCTTCCTATAGAGAATCGGGACTTATCCCCTCTAAGGTATTTGTCTCGTTGGAGCAATTTCTCTTTTCGCATCCTTCCCTCTGGAAGTTTCGGAGACCACCATCTCCTTGGACAACTCTACCTTGCTGAACAAACTATGCATTGTTCTACCCCCACAAATGCACTTACTAGATTGAGACTCCTCGCCAATACAGCCCCTGCTGCAACCCTCGAGGCTTAGCAACATGCTGAACTCGTTGCATACTTCAGCCTCCTACATACGTATCCTTCTCATGCTGAAGAGAAAGTTTTAATGCTTCATGGCGCCGAGTTTCGGTTGCCCTGGGATGGCCACGAACATTCCATCGTCTGTATACAAGCCCTTGCATGGGTATCGAAGTCTTCGAATTAGCAATTCCCCTCACCTTCGTGATCTTTGCACAACTCTTTCGGTCGTTGAGCAACCCATTCCACTTTGCATGGTCTTATCCTTTACCAAGCACCTCGCTTGCCTTGAGCACCATCAAGTATGGTTGCCAACGTCGAGCCGTAGCTCGAACTCAGCCATCCTAACTTTTGTGCACTACGCATTCTTCCCAGCTTGCTTGTCCTTATGGTGCCTCTTGTGCGAAGAGTTGGCTATTCCTTTGAATGTCAATCTCAGATGCTCGCTCCTCTGAGCGACTTCTTTTCCCTACATCTCCATGTTCGTTTCCCCTAAACGATCGCACATATTGGTTGCCCTCAACATAGTCTCGCTAGGTCCCCCACATTTGCATGCCAAGTATTTCTATGTGTGCTTGTCCCGCTCTGATACCATATATCACGCACTTAGCTAGTTTTGTCTAAGTCGTGCGGCACCATTACGTGTTCGTCCGCAAAGGTCAGTCTCCCCGAAACCTCCTATGATCTCTTAGGACCTACAAAAAAGAAAACGGATAGAGAAAGTGTTTCACTCGGTATCCACAAGCAATCATTTTGGTAAACACTTCATAGCCAATGCAAATTACAAACAGACTTCACAAACTCTGAACGGTCGCACAACAAAGAATCCAAAATGGTCCACTACAGACCGAAATCTCCACAACTGCCCATATGACACAATCTTTGTTTACAATTCTAAGACAGCCACCAAAACCAAAGAAAATGGGGCTGCTAAGCCTACTATCAACCCTTTATATGCTGTGCAAAGCATGAATAAAACCGAAAAATACGGACATATATGAGTATTGCATCAAATACACTGTTTATAGATTTGTCCGTGACAGTTTGTAGTATTCAACATTTTGTTCTTGCTTTAGTGGGCTATAAGGAAGAAGATGTGACTATAAATGTGGACTGTTTCAAATATTTGATTATGGAGAGTTAAACAATTACAGTATCTAATTATTTGAAATAGTCACTTCTTTTTCTCTTTTCAGTTTTCGCAGACTTCAGATGTGACCCAACTATCTATTCAGCTCTTGGAACATGGACATGTAAATCCTGAAGCTGCTGCTGTCTCAGTAGATCCCAACTTTTCATCTTATCTGTACAGTGATTTTCTGTCGAGTGTTTTGGTTAGGAAAGGAGCACAGGGTGTCTTCCTGGGAAGGTAAGGGTGATTGGGGCTCGTCACGTGTTCTTATGGAATCCCATGCTTGACTGGTTAAATTTCTGCAGGAATAAACGAAAATATGGGGATGATAATGAGCATTCTGTGGTTGGCAAGGCCATGGATGGAATCCAAGTTATCAATGGTTTGGAATGCAAGATTTCTTCTTGTTCTTCTAAGGTACTTGATTGGAAGCCCTGCCTTAATCTCCAAACTTGTTAGTTGTGTGAATATATTAGGTAATTTTTCTTGCTTTGTTTCCCAGGTGTCTTATGTGTTAGACACAGAAGATATTTTATTCCGAGCTAGAAATAAAAGGAGATGTTCTGGAGGAACCATATGTCATGACCATTCACAACCTTCACAAGTACATGATGCAAAAGTACAGCGATTCAATAACTTGCTGTCCACTTTCCTGTCCAGAACCTAATGCATCACGCCCCAAGGAAATTGGTAAGTTCTTTCTTGGAGAAAAGAACAAAATTTTTTTAATGTTCCTTTTCATGTTTATTCAGTTGCAGTAATTCACATCATTTCTAGTTTCAACGAAGATCACCCATTATCAAAAATTTTGAATTTGCAAGGCTTTAGCAGACAATGCCACTGGTTATATCAATTTGAAACTTGGAGGAATTATGAGTTTGAGCAAATATCGAGCAGTTGACTTAGTTGTTTCGGTATCAGCAAGTGTTCGCTGCTTCTGATTCGGCGTCTCCTTTCTCTTGCAGTGGCTATTCATCACAAAGTCACCTTGAACTCCTGTTGGGGCTTGCTAGATTTCACTATCTGATGGCGCCGCTTGCTCTTCTCAAAACAACAGTCTCAAAACAACAGCTAGGTGGATTTCTGGTAAATATGTCAAATATTGTCACTTAATTCTGGTGGCTTTTTGCGTCAAAAATCTGTATATATATGTATGGCACCAACTTTGCTCCTCTTTCATGGATACCACTCCACAAGAGTTCCGGCCTTTTTGCTCACGTATTGTTAGTCCATTAAAACACAATGCTCACGTAACATGCTGATGTAAACTGCTTACTCCTGCAATAAAGTGCAGGTATCTGCAGCCTATCCTGTGTCATCATTGAGAATTTCTGGTGTTTGCATCATGTTGGGTGTCGGGAAGAGGAACATTCAGAGATAAATCATCTTCTACATGCAAACATCGTGTTGTTAATTGCTATTTGGCCGAACAAAGGGAAATTAAGGTGAAGAATTGTTGGAATGAGCAGCAAGCTCAGGTCGCTTGACGGTGTGCTTACCTCCCAGTAATATGGCCTTAGAATAAGCTAAAAATAATAATTTTTAAGGGCATATGATTTAATTATATATTTATATTATTTTTTTAATATTTCAATTTTTAAAAAATTATATTAAAATTTTTATAGTTATAAAAATAAAATATTTATTTTTATTTATTTTAACGTTCTCGGTTTTACTAATGAAAGTACGAAAGACAGAAGAAGAAGGGGGAGAGCTTTTGGTGTGTCGGTTGACATTAGATATAGAACTGATTTCTGCCATTTGAATTATCATGGGTGAAGACGAAGGAGCAATAGCCCAATGGTTCAAAACGAGCATTAGACATGATCGTTGCACCTAACATCTTTCTTTTGTCGTCAATAATGCCTTTGGCAAGAGGTTCGGCTCCTCTTATGTGATAATTATCTGTCTTAATATATCAATCTCATCCTTTATGCCTCTTATCTTTATTATAACAAATAAATCGTTTATGAATTTTTTTTTAAAAATTATGAGATAAAGAATTATATCAAATAAATCATATCAAATAGACGGCAAATAAATCATATTTATTTATTTATTTGTTGTTTCCCATAAATGATAAATAAATTGTTTATGGGAACTTTTTGAATTTACCTCAATACATTTTGGGTGATTTCAATTATATTTTAGACCCTCATTATTTTAGATATTTTTTTATTAAATATTATGATTTAATAAACTTGAGGTTTTTATATTTTAAATATATATGATGGTAACGATCATCATGATTCTGCTCGTATTTTGGTTTAATTTGATCATGTTTTTGGTAATGCTATTTAGACGCAAATCTTTTATTAGTTAGTCTTCAATTTTTCATTTACCTAAATAATTTTATGATCTCACTCCTTTAATAATTAAATTACTTACTTCGACAACACCCCTACCGAGAGAGCTCTTCCCATTGTTCCTAAACTTTTCTGGTCACCACAATTTGGAACTCTTCCTCTCCTCACCGATTCCCTCCCATATAAACTATGTAAAAACAAGACCCGTCTATTTTTCTCCTTGGAACGAGCATATTCCCTCGGGAAAATTGGAAGACCGGCGGCTCTTGATTCTGTCACCGAGTCCGTCCATCATAGCCTTGAAAACCATATTTCCAATTTACACTTTTTGAAATTAAGTGATGAAAAGTAATCTAAAGAAAAAATCGAACCATCCAAACGATGACCGCCTCATCAAAAAAAAAAAAAGAAGACACAAATACGGAAATATAAGAAATACTATCACCAATAAATCCAAATCTTTACGAGAACGCAGGCCCCACCGACTTCGTTCCCCCCTCGATTCCCATAAATGTCCTTCGTTATTGGACCTTAGCGACTCGAACGTCCGAGTCGAGGCCACCGCATTCGGTGCGTCAACGGCGAATCTGGTCAACATTCCGTCAACCCCCTCCATCGGGGGCTTCGTTCCCCACAACGCACCTTTTTTACTGGGTCACCGCGACTCGACCGGTTCGAGTCCAACCGCACAGGGGATGGTGTTGATAAAAGGGGACCGGTTCGAGTCCAACCGCACAGGGGCTTCGTTCCCCACAACGCGCCGTCCGGATCGACGGAAGATTGCGTGCATCAAAGGGGATGGTGTTGATAAAAGGGTATTTTGGTCGACATGGTCACAAACTTCACCGTTCCACGTCGTCTCATATAGTGGAATGACGAAACAACCGTTGCCGTGGTGAGCGCAGGGGCAGATTCGTCATGATAAAGCACCGACAACGGTGGTGCCGGTCCAGTTAAAAGCGGTAGCGGTAGCGATCGCGAGAAGAAACGGGGCAAAAGGGTGCGGTCGCGAGGCCCAGCGACGAAAAGTTACCCTCTCATCCTCCCGTTCTGCGTTCTCTGTTTCTCCTCCAATTCTAGGTTTTTTTTGCCCTCTCTCCCCCTCCCTCTCTTTCTTTCTTTTCCATCTCCTCCCTCCTCCCACTTTTCCCCGCGATTTCTGTTCCCCTAATATATCTGAGGTTTCTATTCGGACTAGGGTTCTGAAGCCCCCTTGATCCAAGTTCCCCTGTTGGCCAAATCCTTGAACAAATTCGCGGATTCTTGCTCGCCTTCTTTCTAGTCTTCCATCTTCTTTTCTTGATTTGGAGGTGCCGATATTAGCGTCTGTATTGTTAGTATTGGATTGTGGGGTCTCCAATTTGGGACCGGGAGGCCCTTCCGTTCGTGCTGGTCTTCGTCTTAAAGTTTCTTGATGAGGAGCTGGGGTTCTTGATGTTTACGCCGCAGAGAAAAGGGTGGTCGCCTTCGCCAAGGTATGGCGATGGGGTCGACAATAGGATGACGACCCCTGCGGTGAACACTAGGACTGGCAGTGGAGTAGCCTTCTTGAAGGGCAAGGGGAAGAGCGCGGTGGAGGCGCTGCCTCCGCCACCTCCACTGCAGGCTTTACTTGGAGAGAATGGCAGCATTGGGGTTGTGGATCAAGGCGATGCGGAGGTATGGCGGAGTTTCAGAGAGGCTGGACTGCTGGATGAGTCTAGCCTGCAGAGGAAGGACAGGGACGCTCTCGTTCAGAGGATTTCAGAACTGGAGAAGGAGGTAAGTGGTCACATCGTCGCTTTGTTTGCTTGCTGTCTTAATGTTTTGTTTATGCAGATCCCTAACCATGCTAATTGTGAACGTTCAAATTCTTGTGTTAATTATGGATTGTATTATATAGTTGATGGCTTCTTAGTGGAATTTTGTGTCAGAAGTCAACTTGCATGTTATTTGGGGGATGGACAACTTCTCGTTTACAAGGCAAGACCGAATTGTATCCTACAAGGAAAAGTTATTTGCATGTCTTGAATCTTGGACCTAAAAGTCCTGGTTCTTATGACCTCTTTCAACCCATTGGATATTTTGACTTGTTTATATGCCATTTTCTTTGGTTCGGATATTTCTATGCCTTTTGATGTAGCACCCTGCCCATTTCTGTCCTTGGATACAATTGATCTATATTTCCAATTAGTGTTGTCTCATTTTTGGCAAAGGATGTGTAAGCTATCTAACATGACTTTGGTTGAAAGGGAAGTGTAATACAGGTAGCAAATTCCATAATCATTGAAAGAGAGACTGTGTATGTTGAGTCTGATATATCCGAAAAAAGTATGCTTTAATTATTGGTTGATTCTATTTTTGTTTGAACTAGCTATCAACTCATGCCATGCATTGTTTTTTATTTCAGAAATTAATAAAATAAATATTGTATCTTTCAGAATTATCAAATATTTTTTAATTTTGGTATTCACATGGATTTCTTTATGCAATATATAGGGTGACAAGCGGCAACTTTGCAAACATTGTAGCATGGTTTAGAAAGTACTTGTGGCGAAGCCTTGTATAGTATAAATGCGTAGGTTGGAATTTTGAAAGAACTCTGTTTTGTTGACTTTTGTTATAGAATATATTAGCATGTATTGTCCCAAGTGCTAGACAATGTGCGTGGCCTTAAGTTAATGGTGAGAACCTCTCTTCTTTCTTCTTTTCATCTAATCTTCATGTTCTTGTTTGCATCTCTTCCTTAGGGCCAAGCATCTGTCATAGGAAAGGGGAGTGGTGAGTATGAGGAGTTGATTGTGATGTCACTCTTTTTCCGTCTCCCTCTCTTGTTTGTAAACTGGAAAGAGATGGAGTGCATAGACAAATGCACATGCCATGGTTGAGAGTTGAAGTCTGATATCAAGTAATTAAAGTTAGAGGGTGAAAGGTTTCTGGCTTTGTCTCCTTGATTTCATGAGATAACATGGAGTGGCTGGATTTTTCTATGCTACATTTTTGCAAAGGGATAGTGCATCTTTTTTCTGTTCATTGCTTTTCTTATTTTGCATGCTTGTAGATTGAGAACATATAAGTAACACATGTATTTTTGGAGTTTAATTGGACTGAGTTGGTCTTTTTGTGGATTTCATGATAAGGTTATGCTTTGAAATAGTGATCTGATGATTGTTTACTTGGCTACATCAGTGTTTCTCTTTTGGAGTATGCTAGTGTAGTTCCGCATAAATATACCGGCATTACATTCGGTTCTACTTTCTGTTTTGCTATTTATCCTGTCAGTAAGGAATGGACGAACTGGGGGAACTATAATATTTTATTTTTCTTTGTGGAGGGTGAATTCCATCGAGATCCAGATGGAGCGAAAACTTCGTTTATTTTGTTTAGCAATATTTCTGTGTTTATTTTATGCATCTGTGACATCCACAATGAAAGTATGAAAAGTTCTACTTCAATTTTGTTTATTGACAAGCATGTTTATTTTGGTTTCTTTATCGTTTTTGTCTAACAATTAAATATGAACTGTGCTAAGTGAATTATATTCATCAAATGTTTTATATGTAGCTTCACGAATATCAATACAACATGGGTCTTCTTTTGATTGAGAAGAAGGACTGGGCTTCGAAGTATGAAGAAATTCGTCAAGCACTTGCAGAAGTAGATGAAACTCTAAAAAAGGAAAAATCAGCATGCTTGGCTTCCATTTCTGAATTTGCAAAACGAGAAGAGAATTTGCAGAAGGCCTTGGGAGTTGAACAACAGTGTGTCTCAGATGTATGAGTTGAATTTAATTCTCACTCATCTTCAATTTTTTTGTTGAACAAAGTTGAACAAAAGCCTCTAGGGTCATGCTAAATCATGTTTCTTCTTTTAAGAATAAGCATGATAATTCTTGTTGAGCAAACTAGATTTCTAGATATGTGCTATTGAATATCATCTTTCTGACTTAAAATTCTCATTGAGTCAGTTCTTCTTTTTGTGCAGTAATTTTCCATGGATAAACATGAACATGTAATTAATATGGTTGTGGTTCTTAGCAAGGCTGTAAGTTCCAATGTCATTATTGGAATCGCTAGTTTGTTTCATTGATATGTTATGCCTTCGTTCACAAAATAAAATACCAAAATGTAGGTGATATATAGGTACTATGCAATGATATGTTATGCCTTTGTTCATAAAATCAAATACCAAAAAATGTAGGTGATATATAGGTACTAGACGCTGACAAGTATAGCCGTGCATATATGCCTTTGTGGTACCAGGTCTTTGTGATATGGTTGGTACCATCTGTACACAACAATGATATTTGAAAAAACCATGGTTCCTTGTATCATAAGTTAGGATCTCTTTCTGCATCAGGTTAAAGATTTTTTCTATTTTTATGCCTTTGGCATAATATGTTATTAAATATTTTGTTTTTGAAACATAATGGGAGCACTCAGTGATGTTTGAATGCTTATAATAACTTCACATGTGAAATCAATGTGGCAATCATACTTTTCATGCCACTTGCTCATTAACAAGCACAGTTTGTCTTTGTGTCTGGATTAAATCTTGTTATGAGACTAGTTTATAAGCTGGGTCATTTTAGGTGTTGACACTTTCTCAAGCGGTTTATTTTATTTTGCTTGTGAATAAGTGGAAGAGTTACTTTAGTATAAAATTGGATAGAAATGGTCTATGCTATGTCAAGAGATGTGAACTAATTAATTCATCATCTATTTTTTGTTTCTCCAGATTCTTTTGCTTCCCTGTCTCTCTCCCCTCATTTTTCAATGTTACTTCTTTGGGAACTTCCTTTTTTTAATTTGTTATAGAGCTTGAATAATGTTTGGCTTCTTAACCTAATCTGCATGACCCTAGAAGATGAGCAAGTGATATCTGTTACTTGTGGTGTTGTTCCGTTAAGAACATTTTCTGATTCCTGGAGGTGATTTGGTAAGTTCCTTCTTTCAACATTATCAATCTATTGTTCCCCCAAAAAAAAAGGAGCTGTTGCTCCCAATTATTTGGAATCAACTGCACAAATCCTTTCCAGTTATTAAATAGAGGGTACTGTTATTGTTTGAAATCAACTACGTGAATCCTTTCAGGTCACTAGCTAGAGGGTCCATTACCAAATGGATCTTCTTTGATTATTTATGGTCTTTCCTAACATTCACCACCAACATTCTCTGCAAAGTTTGACTTTTTTACTCTATGATTGAAATAAGCTTATCATCACATAATCTTGTATGGTTCCTTTTCATTAGTTTACTTTCCTATACCTCTTCTATGTGCGGTGATTATCCTTGTTACCTAAGTGTTTTCTTTCTTTTTTTATGGATTCACAACATTTGCAGCTCGAAAAGGCTTTGCGTGAGATGCGTTCTGAACTTGCAGAAGTCAAGTTTACATCTGATAAGAAGTTAGATGATGCCCATGCCCTAGAAATCGGATTAGAAGAAAAATATTTGGAAGTTGAACAAAAGTTGCATGCCGCAGATGCCAAGCTAGCAGAAGCAAGTCGTAAAAGTTCTGATGTTGACAGAAAATTGGAGGATGTGGAAGCTCGTGAACATAAACTTCAAAAAGAGTATCTCTTATTTGATTCTGGGTATGTCTTTTTACGTCATTTCTTGATTTGTCTGCCAATTTCACTCTGGATTTGGTTAAGTTCCGTTTGGGTGTAGTATTTTCTTTCTTGTTGTATGTCATCCTTGTATGATACTCTTGGTGTCTAGACGGAAGTTACATGAAAAGGACATTACTGAACAAAGAGAACACCTGCGTGACTGGGAACAAAAGCTTCAAGATAGTCAGAAGAGGCTTGTTGAGACGCAGAGGTATCTTAACGAAAGAGAGGATCGAACTAATGAGGCAGATAGGGTTCTTAAGAAGAAAGAAGCAGATGCTGAAGAGGCTCGGAAGATGATTGAAGCCACCAAAAAGTCTTTGAAGACAAAAGAAGAAGAAATTACAAAAAGACTTGGTTCTTTAGCTGCCAAAGAAAAGGTGCAGACTCCTGTATTGTTTATACTGATATTAGTTGTCATCTGTAACGTGGTACTTGACTCAATTGCAGGAAGTAGATGTTAAGGTTGAAAGCCTGGAGAATAAGGAAAAAGACTTGATTTCAAGAGAAGAAAAACTTAATGCTAGAGAAAGAGTGAGTTTTGTTTGAAGTGTTTATATTTGCTAATAGAATGCTCCCTCAAGTCCTTGCCATCTCATTATAAATTATACTTGTCATAAATTTGATAAATAGCATTCTTTTTCTTTTCTGAAAAAACATGGTACTATTCTTAATTTTAATAATTATGAAAGACATGGTACTATTTTTCACTTAGTCTGACATTGGACTCTTGTTGAATTTGTACTTTCATTTGTTTCTTAAATGTGCTCTTTAGTTTAAAGATCGAACTGGATTATCCTGAGTCCTCTGATACTTCTGTATCCAAGAGATGTCTCTTGCGATTCGATCTCTTATTTCTCTTTCATGTCATTGATACTGGCCTTTTATTTTATTTTATTTTTATTCTGTAGGTTGAGATTCAAAAGCTTCTTGATGATCACAATTTGTTAATAAGCTCCAAGAAAGAGGAGTTCGAGTTAGATTTAGAGAAAAGGAGAAAATCTTTGAGTAAGGAGATAGAATGTAAAATACGTGAAGTGGAGAAGAAGAGAAGGGAAATTGACAGTATGGAGGAGCAAATCACAAAAAGAGAACAGGCTTTACAAATGAACTTGCAAAAATTGATGGATAAGGAGAAAGACGTCGATTTAAAATCAAATGATTTGAAGAAGTGGGAGGAATCTGTCCAAAATGATGAAAAGAAATTGGAGAAAGAAAGGCAACAACTGGCTAGTGATAGTGAGGAGTTTCTGAAGTCTAAATCTGATCTTGAGAGCTTAAAGGCTGCAATCGAATCAAGGAAAGAACAAATTATGAAGGAAGAAGAAAATCTTAGGCTGACCAAGGGAGAGAGGGAAGAACATCTACTGCTGCAGTCCAATTTGAAGCAAGAAAGTGAGGATTGCAGGATATTGAAGGAATCACTTCTTCGAGATACCGAGGATCTACAACAGCAAAGGGAGAAGTTTGAAGAAGAATGGGAAGTGCTAGATGAGAAAAGGTTAGCATTAGAAGCAGAGAGAAAGAAATTTAATGATGAAAGAGAGAAGTTTGAAAAATGGCGACATGATGAAGAAGAAAGGCTGAACAATGAGGCTCTGGTAGCAAGAGCTAATTTTGAGAGGGAATTGGAGGAACTAAATCAGAAGACAGAAGCCTTTGGGGAAATAATGGAGCATGAGAGGTTGGAGGCCCTTGAGGTGCTCAAGCGGGAACGAGCTGATATGGCTCGAGAACTCGAGCTTTGCAAGCATGAGCTTGAGATGGATATGCAGAAAAGACAGGAGGATACGGAGAAGAAATTGCTTGATAAAGAGAATGATTTTCAGAGAAAAAGGGATTTGGATTTTAACCAAATGATATCTTTGAGCAGTTCAAATGATTTAAAGATTCAGAAGCTAAAAATGGAAGAAGATCGATTAGAAAGAGAAAAAGAAGATCTCTCTTCGTACAGAAAAAGGCTGGAAATTGACCGTCTTGAGATTCAGAAGGACATTGATGCTCTTCGGATGCTTAGCAGGAATCTTAAAGAACAAAGGGAGGAATTTATGAAGGAGAAAGAACGCTTTTTGGCTCAGGCTGAGCAGAAGACATGCAAAAACTGTGGGCTTTTAGTTGGTGATTTGGACACTTTCTGCATCCAAGATGCAGGAGATGTTCAACTACCAAACCTGGGTTTTGAAGAGCATCTGAATGACACAAATGCTGAGACTACTAATGCTAAGGTTTCTCCTGCAGCTTCTGGTGGCCGCATGTCATGGCTGCAAAAATGTTCAAGACTTTTTAACCTTTCTCCTGGGAAAAAGGTTTTGGATTCTTCTCAGCATCCACTGGACAATTCTAATCTTTATTCAAGTCTCGACAGAGAAGCTTTTGATGGTGAAGCCAGCCATAAACCTGCAGCATCCTATGGTGTTGTTGATTCTTCTGACAGCCAGAGGGCCCAATCTGTTACTGGGATAGGAGACAATGTAGAATCTAAAAGGCTATGTGGAGTTGTAGAGGAGCCAGAACCTTCTTTTGAAGTAGCAAATAATTCTATTCATATTATGAGGACCCAGACCCAGATGGATAATGGTGTCAGGGATGTAGTAGACCAGCTGGCTATGCCCTCTGTTTCTCTTAATGATAGAGAAAAATATGCACCTGCTGGAAGTGACAACCTACGCGTGTCTTTCAAACAAAGACAATCTCAACCTGGCAGGAGAGGAAGGCCAAAAGCTGTAAAGAGAACACACACCATTAAGGCAGTTGTTAAAGATGCAAAAGCTATCCTTGAGCAGAGTTCTGATGAGAAGAATCATGGACCACATAATGGGGAAGCAAAAGATCCTGTAAATGCCCCAGAGAATATCCAAGGAGATTTAGTCCATTCTACTAGGACGGTGAGAAGTGCAGGGCGGAAGCGGCGTGTTGCTCAGACATCTGGAGTGACAAATAGTGATCCGGATGCTGAGGATAGTGAGGCACACTCTGAGAGCATTTCACTTGGAGGACACCGCAAAAGGAGGCAGATATTGGCTTCTGCAGTTCCTGTAGAGAAGCGCTACAATTTCAGACGGTCAACAATGTAAGTTGGCTCCCATCAAAGCTACTTAAGTATGATTTTCATAATCATGTGGTATAGTAAAAAATTGGAACTATTCAGTCTCCTTTCTAATGAGAAATTGGGTTATTTCTTATGATAACGGGTGTGAATGGAATGTAGCGAGGAGATGCTTGCCTCGCCGCTGTTCATGCTTCTCGCTTACATTTTTTAACTAGTTCCCTAGCATTATAACCTTGTTTTTTTGGCATTGGAACCATAGCAATGAAAACAAGTAGCTCACTTTTCAAGTTTGTTTCTGTCTTTCAGTGCAGCTACCACTACTGCAGCTCAAACAATGTCTGATCAGACTAAAGGATTTAAGGCTGGCTATGATCGACAATTAACTGGAAATGAGATACTGAAGGAAATTGGTGGTGAAGGATCCTCTAGACCTGCGGTTGAACCTGTGTCAGATGTTGTTAATAGCATAATAGCATCAAATATGCTGCAAAAGACAGCTGCGGTAGGTATCGCAGAAGTACGTGAGATATCCTCCCAGAAGATTGTTCAAGTAAGTTGAAGTCTTTAGATTGCATCGGGAATTGAATGACTTGGGATTGTGAATTTTCTGCAGCTTCTTGGTTTTATAGATGTCGTTTGGTTTTTGGAATCGGGTTCATTATATGACAGACTTCATTAGACTAGGTCAGGATATATGAAATATTTTTGTTTATTATTGTAGATAGATGCATAACACTTGGAATGTATTTCACAAAATCAGCAATGTGATCATGCTATTCAGATACATCGCTGTTGATTGGAACTTTTACTAATTGTTAGAGAAACTATTTGTTGAATGAAGACTTTTTTTTAAAGTTGCACTAGGAGTAGCTCACATGGCTCATTACCTATTGGGAGCTTGTATGGAATATCGCTAAATTAGTTGGCCTACTTTGGTCTACTAGGATATGCTCGGGACATTGGAGTTTAGTTTGTGAGTCTGAGATGCATAAACATTCATTGCCTTTCTTTTTTCGAGTACTTGGTATGGATCAGGCCTAATGTGCTGTATCTCATGTGCTTAGGCAGAGAGTAATGATGATACTGTGAAATCAGTTGAAGTCAGCTATCAGAGTGGAGAAGATGGGCATATTCTGGATGATGCAGCCACTGGAAGCAGACCAGCAACTCCTTCAGATGATGAGGATGAGGATGAGGAGGAATGCGAGCAACAGAATGCTTCAGTGGGGAGGAAGCTCTGGACATTCTTCACAACGTGATGGTTCCATATTGCACAGGCTATCATGTGTTGGAATCTAAATGTCCAGGTTCAGTGTAGATTTGTCTAACACGTCTAATCTGTATTCTATCATCGGAACTCGTTTTTTGCTTTGTTTGTTTGGAATGGGTGTTTGATTGACCTACTCTTTTGAATTTAATTGGTTTTCAAGTCCGACCGACCAATAGGGGGCGATGATTAGAATCAACCTACACTTTGGTAGTGATGAGAAGCGTGGATGCTTTTTAGGACATGGTTATCTATTCCGGTCGGGGTGTGCTATGGATTCTTGAACTAAAGAATTATTATGTTTGCTTTTGCGTAGTTGTATTCTTCTGTACAGCGTGTTGTCTTTCTGCATATGTTGGTTTTGCTTTGCCCCTCCGTGCATCCATGGTTGTATTTGAATTTGGTCTGCGTTCTTTAATCCCTTTTCCAGCTTTTATCAAAGCATGCACACAGGTGAGCCATCAATAAAAATAGGACACGTATCACACTCCGACAACAGGCTTTTACAATAATGCACTAGACAAGTCCCAAGTTTAAACTACCATAATGTTTAAACTACACCCTTGTTCCTCTCCTCTCTTCTCGGGTTAATTTAATTGTATATTATCTTTTATCTAGTTAAATTTTCTTAGCATCTTGATTTTTATATTTAAAAAATTTATATTAAACTTTTTATAATTATGAAAGTGAAATATTTAATTTCATTTACTATAATATTGTTGGTTTTATAGACAGAAATATAAAAACAAATAATAAAAAGATAATTTTAACGTTCTAGTTGATAGTGACGGATAGTATTGATGGTGGTAAACATCGATGTCACTGGAGGTCGTGGGTGATTATTGTGAATGAGGAGAACGGTGATAATAGATGAGGGCCGTTTTATATTTACGTCTACACCGACGCAGTTGCCGAGTGGCATTGCTCAATAACTACATCGGTGCTAACGCAGATGCAAAGCGACAGAAAGGTTGCTCGGGTGGTTGTTGTGGATGAGAAGATCAATGACGAGAGGCGAGGGTTGCTCTGCACTATGTCGATGTCAATGCAGTTGCCAAGTGACCCTTTCGCTACTTTCTATTTACATCGACGTCGACATAGATATAGAGCAACATTGTCTGTGTCGATGTTGACGTAGTTACCGAGTGGCCCTTTAGTTATTTTGCATTTGCATCAACGTTGATGTAGATGCAGAGTAGTGCTGCTCTGCATCTACGTTAGCGCCGATGCAGTTGCCGAGCAATGCTGCTTTGCATTTGCGTCGACACTGATGCAATTGCCGAGCAGCGAAAGGGCCACTAATGCAGATGTCGAGTAGCTTGTTTGCCACTCTATCACGAACTTAGCTGGTTTTGCATAAGCCGTGGGCACCCTTGCGTGTCCGTCCGCAAAGGTCAACCTTCCTGAAACCTCCAATGGTCTCTTAGGACCTACAAAAGAGAAAATGGGTTAGAGAAAGCGCCTCACTCGAGATTCACAAGCAAACATTTTCAAAAATACTTCATAGCCAATGCAAATTACAAATACACTTTGCAAGCTCTGAATGGTTACACAACAAAGGGTCAAAATGGTCCACTATAGATCGAATATCTCTCATAAGTATCCACTTAACATAATCTTTATTTACAAGCCTAAAACGGCTACCAAACCCAACTAAAATGGGGCTATTAAGCCTTCGACCGTCTCTCTACATGTTGTACAAAGCATGAACAAACCAAGAGATACAGACATACATAAGCATGAACAAACCCCCATTTATTCCTTCGACGTTCTTGTTGAAGCCTTTGCCGACACTGCAACCCATCGCCTTTGTTGAGCCTTCAATCTTCTGCTCTAACTATAATGCGCCTCTTGGCTCCTAGCTGCTCTCTACTACTGTTGTTGAGTAGTCAAACTTTTGATCTGCCACACTACTTTAACTCGCTAATGACTCTGACTCTAGTGTGGGTTTGGCTGAGTTGTGTACATCCCTGTTGGTTCCTGCGGATCCTTTAGATGAAAAAAAAGACCATCCTTACTATGCGCCAGTCTCCCAAATATCTCATATTGCTTAAACTGGGTGGATGCTTATTGGAGGTTTAACGAGCATCGCCTCACAAACTTTTGAAGTTTTGGGTCCTTCACCAAATTTGCCCATCTACTCTTCTTTTACTTAGTTGTCACTTCCAAGTAGATTTGCATCACTTCCGCTTTCGATTGACATTCTGTTGGGAAATGAAGCGGATAATCTACTCTCAATAGCACTGATTACCATTGGTGAGGATTTGATAATTATTATCTTCCATTATCTTTGAAGGGTCTTTGAACCTGTGAAGAGTTCCTCTGTTGGATAGATAAGAGAATTAGGATACTTGATTTCACCCATTCTATTAAGAGTTGAGAAGGCAAAGGTTACTTGACTTTGTCCGCCTCCTCGAGGGTTATACTCCATGCATCAAGCTGGTTACTAGCTTTCGCCTGCTCTTTGCTCACACTTCTGAAGCACTTGAAGTGTTTGCACTCCTTGCGTTGAGTTAGCTACTGTGATTCACCTTCTCAATGCCATCAAACTTCTGGAATGTAAGAAGTTTTCACTCCATTTGGAGTAAGTCTCTAATAGTTTTGGTCGCCTTTAGGATTGTACTATCTTCTTCATCAACCTTGCCGCCTACTCTACTGAGTAGCAAAGGTACAATATCGCATACTGCCTACTTCGTTCCTTGGTCATGTACTCTTGCACGACCCAAAATCATTCACTTTTAGCTATTTTGATGAGAAGCTCATTGACACCGGTCTTACGAAGTTCTTTGGCCGCTGCCCTTCAGCCTTGTCTTGGTACTTAGAGTTTGCCTTCGCATACTCCACCTTCTCGGCCCCTTTCATGACCAAGCACTCTCCCTTCATGAGAGCAAGGGATCAATGACTTCACGGAAGTCCTGCCTCTGCGGTACTATGGCGCTGTCATGCCTATGGCCCTATTATCCGTCGCCTCACATCTATATCCCTTTCTTTACGATCGGTAGATCTGCCTCTATGGCACTGTGACACTCCTCCGAGTCCACCTCTATTCTAATCGATGCTTGGTTTTGGGTAGCTAAGTTTCTCTAGACTCGTCGTTGCTTCTTAACATCTTTCGACCCCCTGCTTCAACACCTCTATGTTTTCCAAGCAATTCCCCTTGATCGATGGAAAGACAGACTGTAACTCCCATGCATGGTCTCTACCATCATGTTTCAGGGTTCACATCGATTCTGTTCTCCTTAGCTTCCTTGGTAGCAATGTTCGCTTACTCAACCTTATCTTCTGACTTGTCGGGCCCCCTTAAGCGAATATGGGCTCTAGAGTAGTCCAACTCTCCAACTACTTCGATCATACCTCTGCATGATCAAGTCCCTCCCATGGGGCTCACTGGTTGCATTCGAACTTTTTTCTCAGTAGTACATAGCCCCCATATGCTGATAACCATTGCTTTTATCTGATGTAAAACTCAATGCATGCATGGAAGACCCGCCTCTACGGTACCATGACCATCACTCATTGAATCCATAGCCTTTCTTGATGTTGTGTTCACCGAAGTAGAGCTTCCAATAGCTCCCGATCATACCTCCGTATGAGATAATCCCTCACGGGACTACAATCTGTGTGTATCACATTGCCACGAACTATTCCACCACGATTCGCTACACCATGTCGCCTCCTGGTGACATCTCCATTGCATTCTGATCATTATGGGATGAACTCAGATTGCGATCCGTCCATGTGTGGCCTCTACCAACATATTGTATGGCCTCTTCCACCTTTGATTGTGTTCACTCCTTTGGCAATCGACCTTCATCCACTCGCTCTTGGGTCACACCTAGATGAAGCACCGGTCTAGGATAGTCCGTCACCTAGTAGCTCCCGAAGTCCACCGACTTCGCTGAAAATGGTGCACCATTGTCTAGATCTTGGGGCTCTGCCCTCCTACTAGCACAATCTTCACTGCTTCCTTCATGGCAACACTATGACATATTCTTCAAGAGTACCTGCCTCCGCGTCCTCTTACCCTGTGCCAAGGCCTCTGAACCCAACTACGCCTTTGTAAGTTGAGTTGCCTCAGTTCCTCCATCAAATGCTTCTCTGAGGTAAGGTGCATGTGCCTCGAAGCTGCATTCGTCTTTGGCACCATGCAGGATGAGCCCGCTCCATTAGAATGAGAGACCTATAGAACAACATGATCCTGCTCTTGCCTCTACAAGAGTTCATATCCTTGATCTTTGTCCAAGGAAAGCTCTATGCCTTCGCTCCATGTTTCATCTTCTATGTTGGCTCCCTTCATGCGGCTTGGGTACTTCGCCAAGTTACACCCAAGTTACTTCGCTCTTCGTTTTGCATTGAGTTGATGGTGGCCCTCGCACCCACCATTCCATGGGTCAGCCCTCCCTTGAGTCTGATCTCCATATCAACTCCAAGTATGTCTTCATTTGTGTTGCTTTGGGTCACTCGCCCACTTGATCTCGCAATGCATCCACTAATGCATTCTCTCAAGCGAGATCATGCGACAACTCCTCACCGCTCACTCAGTCCATTGAGCTTCGTGGAGTTGTTGTTTTTGAGGTACTCCTCAACATATGCAGTCCGTTGTATTAGACTGACAGCCCACCAGATTCAGCCCATGATGGGCTTTAATAGCCCACCCCCCTTTATCTAAACCCTAGATTCATATTAGGGGGGTGTGGGTGGCTGTGTTTTTGTGGCAAAAAGAGGCAGAAAAAGGCAGCAACGGGGGAGAAGGCTGCAGCCACGTGATTCCAAAGAAAACTAGGAGAACAATGTAAAAAAACAAGAGAAAGAAAGGAAAGAAGATAAGGACAATGCAGAGTGACTGTTCTCAATCATTTAGCAGTGTTTTCATCTCAAGTTAGATCAGATCTACAGTAGATTCTTGCTGTGATTACTTGGGGATAATTTAGAATTTTGTGCACAGTGACGTGATCCTTGTATCCCAGTTATTCTCTTGTGATTGTTGCTAGGGTTTTGGACAAGAGATTGAGATTTATATATTCATTATTCTTATAGTAGATTATCTCTAGTTTGTCCTGTGGTTTTTACCCTTCACATTGGAGGGGTCTTTCATGTATATCTTCGTGTTCTATTTGATTGTGATTCTATTTAATTCCGCTGCATGTTATGGCCTGCTAGTATTTGTTCATATACAAAAGTTTATTTCTCTTTATATCCCATCAACTGGTATCAGAGCAGGGTTTTAGTGATTTAATTTTGTATTAGAACATGGAGGCCAGTAGTGTTTCTCACATAATTAGTTTAAATGGAAACAATTGGATGATATGGAAACCAAGAATGGAAGA